AATCCTTGATAATCCATGATATGGCGTTTCATCACCGCAGTATTTAGTTTAGACAGTAGCTGCCGGTAGATTATCCCGCAAGAGCTCAGCCCCCTCCTTTTTTTTTTATCGTTTTTTTTTTTTTTAAGCTTTATACCCCAAATCAGCACTTTTGAAACAGGAAGTGAAATAGAGGGATATGAGCAGGGGTGCACATAACTTTTTTGGCTGGTTCTCAAAGGAGCACCTGGAGATGTTGCTTGGTGCGCATTCTTAAAATTAAATAAACTGGACCTTTTGAGGGGTACTTGAATTTATGAATGGGGGAGGGGGGGGGGAGAGGTGCGCTAGTGAGCACGTAGCAGGGTTACTGTGCGGAGCGCATAAAGCAGACCCTTCACGCGATAGCGAGGGGTAGAGCGAGAGATTGCAGATGCCGTCGTGCTCGTGTACGGATTAAAACAATTAAACCTAAATGGCTCACGAATTATACTTTGGTGGCCGTTAATATACCTGGGCGGCCCGCCCAAGTAAAGTCTATGTGTGGGAAACCCTGCTATCTTACCAGTTCTTATGCAACTCGCAAATATCTCTCTCTCTATGTTGGTGCGCAAATGCGCCTTTTTTCAAATGATCCGGTGCTCTTATTTGGCGGGGGGTGCGCATGCGCACCTGCGCACCAGTTATGTGCAGCCCTGGATATGAGGCATGGCTAGAATGGGTGATCTGTTTGGTATTTTGAGCAAAACAATTCATAGACATGTTTTTTATATATTTGTATATATCTGAGACCTATCCTATTGCCTACAAATAGCATGATAGGTGCATTTTAAATAAAAAGGAGATAAGGAATATGACATGAGTTGGAAATGGTAAAAAAATTCCAAGGAATAGAAATAAAACATCTTTAAATAGAGGCAAATACGTGTTGATAGATGAGTGAGCGTGTTCCCTCACCGCCCGGCAGAAGAGCCCACAACCGGGGCAGCAGTGGTGCTTCACCATGCCGGCCCGGTGCTCCTCACACAGAACCAGCAGATGGACCTTGTTAGAGGGGCGCATCATTTCCTGCTTCATCACTCGCCTCTGGCAACGGCTCAGCTGTTGAGAGCAGAGGTACCAAAAATATCTTATACTGTACCACATTTAAAAAAAGGTTTACAATGTGTTGGTGCTTTTAGACCCATAACAACCTTAGCAAGCAACAGCTGTTATATCATTTTTGGTTGGATCATATCCAACAGGTTTTCACTGTTTGGAGTCTGGATTCATGGGACACTAAATATGTTCCATAGAAACCACCCATAAAAGGATTAATTTTGCTCACTAAATAACATTTAGATCTATCATCGGCTGCTTTTAGTTCAGGGTGGCCTTCAGTGATGTAGTGTGAAAATGTTTAGGTGAATTTCTAAACTGTAATAAAAAGTGTTTTTGTTCACAAAGAAGTGAAGATAGCAGGATTGCAGAACAACTACTGGGTGGATTTTCATCAAACTTGTTGAATGGGTGTAGCATTGGCCAAGGAAAAACCCATGAAATGTTGGATCCAAATTGGTTCGTTGTTCATTTGTGAAAAACAGCAGCCAAATATCACACCTTTCTCTGGTTAAGAATTGGTTACTGGGTGGGATTTATCTGATGTTTTAAAACTGATTTGTAATAATAGGTCAATGCTAAAGTGTTTTAGTTCAGAAGATTTTTACCATTCCATCCATGCTCTCCATGGCCATGCAGGTCTGCTCAATTGTGGACCGGCTGCCTCCGCTGTAAGGAGTCTCCATCCGACAGCAGCACAGCGGCAGCTCCTCCAACAGGTCTGATTCTGTCACCTTAGCATCTGACACACACACACACACACACACACACACACACACACACACACACACACACACACACACACACACACACACACACACACACACACACACACACACACACACACACTTTGTAGCACGTGTGTAATGACAGTGGTGACATAGCACACAAAGTGGAGTCACTGGGGAACAGTTGAGGGAATAAGGAACGGAGAAAATCGTGCCTTTGTAGGTTAAGTTTTGGATATGTGGTCCTTTGCAACACCACATGCTGGACATGTCTTCCCATTCCAACAGGTGCCATTTTATGTTAGATTGTCACTAAATGACATATAAAAACATGTCTATAAAAGAAAAAGGGGACATGATAAATGTGTTGTCACCTGACAGGGGAGGAGAGAGCAGCTCTTCCTGAGCTTTCAGATCCAGACACTCCAAAGCCAGCTCTGTGTATTCTCCTTCTCCAGGGTCCCCCTCCATCAACAGTTCACTCCTGAGGGGCTGCAGAGTCTCTGTGAGCATCACTGGCTTCTCCTCAGCTGCAGCTCTGTTCTGCTGCACACTGGGTCCTGGCTCCTCCTTCTGATGAAGAAAGGAATGACATTTGTAGGTATTGGTATTTATTTCAACATGGCAAACAGCATATTGCTTGCATGGTATTTACTTGCTACTGGGTACACTCCTGGGAACATACAACATAACCCCAGTGAGCTAAAAGATAAGAATACATGACTGAATGACAAATAAATGTATAAATAAATAGATACGTGGACCTACCTTCTCCTGCTGTTTAATGGCCTTGGCCTTCTTCTTGGGGACTAGGTTGTACATTCCCATCTTCCTTTTTCTCCTCTTCACAGCTAGGATAAGAACAAAGGTTAGGTTATGTAGTCAGAAGTCATCAGTAGGAATATCAGTCTGAAAGGTGCGGTCACCCTGGAGACAACATATTACATCAATGCCCACTTTTCCAGTTAAACACATGACTAATGCAGAAAAATTCATTATTAAACACAGTAAGATGATCACAAATAACAACATTTGAGTACAGCTAACTAGGGCTGCCCCTAACAGTCATCCAAATGTTAGTCTTGCAATTTTCTAGCAACTCTTTAAGTTTATTTATTTTCTCAAGATAGGTTGAGTTCAATCAAGTTTGCAAAGGGAAGATCAACTCACCGGACGGAGGTTTGCTGGAGACAGCTCTCCTCTCCTTTCCTTTGTGGCTGGGACAAAGCATGGTGCTTGACTTCACTGCCTTCCTGCCAGCACTCTTTAAAAGGGCAAAAACATATTTATTCTAAATGTAATAAAAGAGAAAGGAGAAGACAATATGTGATACGTGGGTGGGCATTGGTACAACATATGGACAACATTAATCATTTTAATATTAGACCGGTATGAACAGTCCAGTGTTACAGTAATTGTTCGTTCTGTACACTAATGAAGATGTTTGTAATAAGAGTATTTGACATCTAAACATTCAAGTTGAATACATTCACATAATAATTCAGGAAATGTATAATAAAATACAATATAACCCAAAAGTTTGTTTCTGGTAAGAAGTATGATTTCAGTGTCATTGTCAATTTGAGCCTTTCTGCAATCTGTGCATTCAGATGAATATAACTGTGTAGAAAGCAAACATTTTGATGTAGAACTTCTGGAATAAAATGTAAATGTTGAACACAAAGTAGTGCAGTAATTAATGAACAAAGTCAATCGAAACACGCACACATAATTGGTATACACACATTTCAAATATCTCTGAGTGTGGAAACATATACAATGTTATTGCTTTACAACCCTCACAGCTCATATGCAGCTGGAACATCAGAGGACTTGCCTGGAGATTTACTCCTGTGGGGGCCGGTGCAGAGCCTGAACTGCGGGGGGGTTCCTCTGAGCTCCCAGCAGCAGCTCTCCCTCTGACAGGAGGGGCATTCAGCCGACCAAGTGTGTCCAGAAACAGGCTTCCATGAGCAGAGGCTGCGGTCCGGGTGCTGCGGAGGGCTCCATCACTGCTTGCTACGGGGGAGCCATGGAAGGGAGTGACCTTTACCCTGGGCTTTTGAACACTCAGTGCTGCTTGTCCCTTGGCACCCATGGGTGTCCCAGAGGAGGGACTGGAGGGTCTTCTGCCCGGCCCCTCACCAGCTCCTCTGTGTTCCATTGCTGTCCTGAGGGGCTAATTATTGAGGCTTGTCGGTCCAACGGGCCTTAGTAGCACCTGTGGAGGTTAACCAAGTTATAATCGACTCAAATACATCATCTTAAAGCAGGGTTGCCAACTCTCACGCATCTAGCGTGTGACACACGCTTTCACTCTCAATCTCACGCTCTCACGCTGCCCAAACTATTCTCATGCCAAAAACAAGAATACCGAAGACTAGAAACGGTTTTGAAAACTTTTGTCAGCTAGTGATCGTCTTCTCAATAGAACATCTTTGATAATGTCTTCTGGCCAATCAGAATCAAGATAACGGCGTGGTGTTGTTGCAGGAAGTCCCAACGGAGAATACTTTGTTGTACATCGATACAACATTACGTGTTGATAGAAATCAACACGTAATGAAATAAGACCCCACGGTTTGATGATTGATAGGTGTGTGGGCTGTCTTTCATTTTGACACACAGAACAATGGGGGCTATCCACCCTTATCCACAATGTAAAGTAATTCACACAGCCTCTTCCCTCTCCTCACTGTGAGGTTCAGCTTTCAGAACAAAGTAACAAAAAACTAAAATGGTATTCATTTTTTTTTTAAATAAATACATTTTTAAAATGACATTCATTTTTTTCTGGTACTCTTCTCAAGAGAGTACCAGAATGTGTATTTGATGTTAGTATTTAAAAAAAATTGGCAGTTTGGAGTAAGTCTGTATATTTGTTTGTGTGTGTTTATCATGTATAGGCCTCTCACGATAATTAATTTTGTTGGATACATTTTCCCGGAAATTATTGTGATAAACGATAATATTTTCGGCACCGTTGTATGACCATTTTAGACCACTGACATGATAATATAAAATAATAATTCAAGTACATCCTTTCAAACTGCTAGTCACATCCTCATGTAAATGGCAATGTATCGAGTTCATTTTTATTTATCGTACGATAAGTCAATTAATTGCGTATCACAACAGGCACACAATAAAACAGTGGAAACAAACATGTGTTTGACTTTCATTAGTGAATGAAACTTTGTGCCCTTTATAGTCTGTGTCCAATATTGTGTACAGCAGAATTTAACAGTAGGCTTGTTTGAGACAAGCGAGACCTGCGCAATTTCGATCCACGTCTTGCTAGTAGGCTTGTTTGAGACGCGTTGTGGCTCGCCTCGAAAGTAGACGAGAATAGCCGAGGGAGGTATCAAAAACCTG